GATGAAAAGAATGGCTTTTTTCTTTTTCATCTTTCAATCTCAGTCGAATTGCTTCTCACTGGATAAATTACTTTCTGAAGCACATTGCCTCCTCATAAGGCGATAACCCTCATATCGCATTGCTCCGTTGCTTTAAGCAATGAAGTGATGTTTTTAGATAAACCCTCAGCATTACTTCGTCCCATGAAGCAACGAAGTGATGGTTTTTACATAAACCCTCACTTTGTATCACATTGTCGCTTTAAGCAACAAAGTGATGGTTTTTAATAACAGTGGTTTGGAGACGTAGGGAAGACATTCATGTATGAGTGTCTAAAGACAATCCATGAGGTAAATACCCAAGACAGTTTAAGCCAATGCTTTTAGAGAAAATAAGGTGCTGCAAACAGAGATTTAAAGAAAGACTACACTGAAGCAGTAACTTCTGCTATGTGAGCATATCTTCAGAACACAAAACAAAGTTCCTCGCCAAATAACATAGCTAAATTAGTAAATCCCTTATGACTTAGGAGACAACAAATTGTTTTTTTTCTTTTGATAGGTTAGGCAACAGTGAGTTCTAATAATCACTAAGATAAATTATATGCAATAGTAAACACATTTCAGGCACATCAGGAAAGAGCTGATAATGTATAAATAGAGATTATTTCATTCAAGTAGCATAGTCCCACCACTTTAAATGATTTGAGTTCTTCAGGCAGTTGGTAACGTCTTTCTCCAGTCGTCAAAAGAAGAGGATGATGTAAGTCAAGCTGAGCAAGTTTACTTGGGTCTTGTGTTAGTGTGGCTGATAAAACCATCTTTGCAAGCCTTGGATAGGCTTTGCCCTTGAACCCTCTTTCTGTGCCCCTGCATTAGTTTAAAGCAATGCTTAAAATAATTCCACACGTGAAATGCCTATGTGCACTAAAACCTATTCGACCCCAAGGAGCAAACTCAATGAACCATCATCACTTGATGTCTTGATCAAAGGTCCAAACCTTCCAGCAAACTTGCATCCACTAACGCAAATACTTACGTAGCCTTAGTTTCAGATAAACAGTGGATACATTTTCATGATTACACGAACTAGCAGTTCCACAATGAAAGGGTTTGACAGTCAAAGGTATAGTGCCATTGTCATAACGCAATAAACCAGACTTGAATAGTCAGATAATTACTTTTAGTATGATTAGAAAAATAAAAAATGTCATATCAGCACTGAGGAAAGATGTGCATCTAAGAGGAATTCCACATTTAATCAATTCATAAGGGGGAGAATAGGCATAGAACATACACTCTCCTGATTGTCTTCAATGAACCATAATTGCAAGGAAGCAGATCATCAGCAGAAGGGAAGTTCCCATCAATAGAAAATCTGGTCAGCTGAATGACAGTAGGCAGCCAGGACTGATAAGCTTCCCTTAATAACCTATCTGTTTCATCAACAACCTACATGATATCATGTAAGTCAACCATTAGGATCTTTTCCTTATTTGTTCTTCAACTTTCTTTTCAAAAAAATGTAAGTCAAATGGTTTCAACAAAGCATAAAGAAGAACAAATGAGCAATATCAAAGTGTGTGCCCCACACTCACAAGGCCTACTACTACCACTTGATGTTTAATGATTAAGTTGAAATAAATCTTAATTGTTCGAGTCGCTAGCATTCTATGTTTTCCTTTTCAAATAGGAAGGAGGCATTGAAGCAAATAGAATAACAAATACATTGAGTTTCTTTTTAAATTTAGTAAATACAACTTTACTGCTAATGAGAAAGCTCCCATATACAAAAGCTATACCAAAATGTAGAGAGTTTACCAAAAGATATGATTCTCTGCAAAAGACACCTCACAGGTGCACCAAAAAGACATTAAAACAGGAAACTATTTCGCAGATTTTCAAAATCCAGATCTTTTGCTTCAAAAGCTCTCCTATTTCTTTCATGTACAGCTATTTCTGATTGAATTTATCGATATAAATGAAGATGGTGGAAAAATATCAAGTTCAGGTGGTTATGGTGACATTAGAAAGCTACTAATGTAAAGACAAATAACCAGCACATGTGCTGCTAAAGCATGCACTTTTGTGGTCTGTTTGTACTTAAGTTGGCATCACCCTATTTCTAACCAAATTATCAAAAGGTACTTCTCACTTTCCAGTGCCTGGTTTGCTAGTGGCCTTATAGACTAATGAGCAGACCCTAAGGAAAAGCAAAAAGTTAGCTGGGACACTTAGCTTCTTAAGATGAGCAAGATACTCACAGACAAATGCTTTATGCTACGATATGATAATACGGACATACTTATATCAATATGGTAGGATTCAATTAATGGCAAGAAAAAGACAAGACTTGGAGACTGGTGTAAATATACTTTTTTTGATGAGGTAATTGGTTTCATTACTGGCATCAAGAAGATGCATAAATTACAAAAGAGTGTAGCAATTGTTAGCTCCTTTCATTACTGGTGTAAATATACATACAAAGAAATTCTAAGCAACTAAATATGCAGCTTACAAGATAACATAGATGCTCAACGGTAAAACCATCAGTGTTACTGATGTGGTCCATCAGTCTTCCAGGTGTTGCCACTAATATGTCTACTGCACTTTGTAACTCGTATGAGAATTCTTCAGGATCATAACATACGCCATACTCAATATTAGGTTTCTTGATGAGCTCAGAAATTTCATCCGAAATTGATGACTGACCAACTGCCAAGCCGACGGACAAACCTACTGCAGGTGCAAGAGCAGAGAAAACCTCTTTGACCTGAAAACAGCAACAAATGATAACAACATAACCTTCCTCCGAGAAGTTAGCTATCTATATTTGCTTGTTAATGTGCAAATATAGTCATTATAGGTATGTATGCATGTGTGTATATATATATACATATACATATATATATATATATATTCGCATGTGCAGGTGAAACTGTAGACGTCTATTTTTAAAGCCTCTGAGGTACCAAGAAAAAATTCCAACAAATTATTAGATTGCTAGTAAAAGGACTTTCAGGCAAAGCATAAACTTTTAGTTTTTCGGTTTTGGGCGATCGGTAGCATAAAGTTATAGTTCTAAGGCAAAGAAAACCTAGGATCATCGACATACCTATAAAAAAGGAGAACCCAACACTGGAGGCAAAGTTAGAAATGGGGCAAAGTTTTACAGGTAATTGAGAATCTTAGTAATTATGCACTGCACATTTTCCAAAACTAAAACTAAAAAATCAAGGTGAATAACCTGCAAAGCGAGGTCCCTGGTAGGCAAGACCACTAGTGCACGAAGACATTTTACAGCACGTGTAGACAACATCTGAACAATTGGTAACGCATAAGCAAGAGTTTTTCCGCTCCCAGTAGGTGAATTTATACAAAGGTCTCGTTCAAATGAGCCAGGTCCAATTGTCTCTTGCCAGACAGCAAGTTGCACGGGAAAGAGTGAAGTGATGCTCATATTCCTCAAAGCCACCACTAACCTAGTGAAGAAACATGTAGGGTAAGAACAAGTTGAAGTGGAAGTGTAAAACTCCAGTATGCAGTGTCACGAAGGCAAAAGGTATAAGTGCAACTATGTTTCAACTGCAGAATTTTATAGACAGTAAAGCTTTGAAAGTAATAAACTGACGATATCTGGGATAAAAAATGAATTTTAAGTTCAAAAGTGAGATGAAAGGTTAACTATAATTTCCGTTCTGCTCATTTCATTTTCATGGAGGAATGAAACACCTTTTTCTTTTGCGAAGGGATTAGGGAGCATTATTTAGGTCAGCTAGCAATTTTCACCAACAACGAAAGCATGAAATTCAAAAGGATGATCAAATTGGCTGCGGGGAAGTATACTCCTATTTTGTAACCTAAATTGATCAGGTCAGTCAAATAAAATTTTAGGAATGCTTTGCGTGTATGCTTGTGTAGCATTCCCTAATATTTCTTTCCACGACTTTGTAAGAAATAAGTAATGCACGCCTGTAGTTTGAAACTTGTTATAATCTACTCCGGTCCTATAACTTGAATAAGATGTACATTAATGTATGGGACCAAACAGTTTCATCCACCGGAAACTAAGCAATTCGTTTTGATCGTGCATTCCCGGTGTCTAGTTTACAGTGTTAGAGATGTATATAGGTGCCTGGGACAGAGGAAAGTAAATAAATAAATTCCGAAACTTTAACAGATGATACCAGCATTCTTGGTCCAGGAGACGAACCATAGATTTTGAAGGGGTCTTAATCCCTTCTCATCTGCTTAAAACTAGATGCGTCTTGAACCTTTTTTCTTGGAGTAATCTACTAATCTTCACTCTGGAAATAGTTCTAATGAGTTATCTTTTTTACTCTGTTAATTCCTTCGAATACATATAGGAGATCCACTGAAAAGGAGCTAACCAATCTTTTGCTCACTGTTCTAATTTTGGCATCTACTGGATGCATTACTAATATTAGCCTCTAATATACCTGATAAAAAGAACTGATAAAAGCTATAGAAATTACAGCACTAACAACATGGAACCAAAACCTGGTGTAACATGAATGTAGCTGAAAATGCAGACACCCAGTTACCGTTCATAGAATCTTTTGCATAGATAGACAGGTTTACTTTTTATTTGATCAGTGAGTAAATTTTATTGGTAGCAAAAAATAGTCAAGTACTACGCTAGTACTGAACTTTCCAAAGTGAAAGGCCTCCTGCACAAAAACAAAAAGGATAGGCTCCTCTATACAAAGTCACTTCTGTAGTGAGCTAATAAAGTCAGTCATGCCTATTGCCTATTTCATCACATATATCTTGTAAATTACATGAAGCTGTCAGTATGCCTAAACACCTATATTTCAGGATATGAATTGAGCTATTATTTCTATCAAAACACTCTGCTTTCCTCTATACAAAAATGCTGAAAAACAGCCCCCACAGTTGTCTCGCTGCCAGTTGCAGAGCCAGGAATTTCGCTAAGGAGTATCAACATAATGAAGTATACACACAAAGAAGCTAATGGGATTCCAACATATAGTATATACTATACATAAAGAAAATTGACCTACCTACCCTGTGTAACTTTTCGGCGAAGGGGTATAAATTGACATTGTTTATTTTTGCTTCTTTTGGATGTAACTTCAGCACTTTCTTAGTGCTAGCTTTTGACATCAATAATACTTACTTTTTTTCAAATAATAAAATAGAACCAAAACATTTTGATACATTCCCAAATAAATAGAATGTCATATAGATTGTGACACATGAGTAGTTAAAAAAATTCAAATTCTATAATTTAAAAAAAAAAAAAGCAACTTTATGCAGTTTCTCAAGATTAAAGTGTACCTGGGGTCAAGAAAAGGCACAAAATCGAGAGAGCATTGGTCCAAGGTAGTAATATCAATTGGATTTCTCATCCATGGCACTACAGGGATGTTTTTCTTCTCTTTTTTCAACTCTTTTTCTTCCTCCATTATCAAACTCCCCTTTTTCAGCTGAAATCCTGAAAAACAAAAGGAGAACACCAAAATTAAGCTTTTTTTAAAAATTTATTCATAAAAATCCAATTATAAACACAACGACCAACCAAAAACAGATACAATTACTCAGTTAGTGCAGTTGAGGTCACTTTTTGTTGCAGAAAATATCCTATGGACAGTAAAAACACATAAAAATTTATACCTTTAAAGGGTTTTGAGAGTGAGATAGTGAATACAGAGAAAGAGAGGAGGTGAGGAGCTTGCTGCAGAAAGAGATGGAAACTGAGCAAAATTAACGGCGGGAAGTTGAGGGCTGATAGTCCAATTTGGGTCAACGTTTTTCGGTTTGGGTTGGATCCGGCCCGTTTGAAGGACTTTGGGTTTGTCTGATAATTCATAATTTCGAATGGGCCTTAAAATGGTACAATATAGTTGGGATCTTTACACAAATAGCTGGGCGAAGTGTACCAATAGCCACTTTTAAGCCAACTATTTAAAATATATCCACCATTGTAGGCGGATTAGAGTTGATAAAGTGGAGGGAGTTATGCGTAAGATGAGGAGGGGTAAAGCGATCGGGCCGGATGAAATTCCGGTGGAGTTTTGGAAGAGTGCAGCAAGGCAGACTTGGAGTGGCTCACTAGGTTATTCAATGTCATTTTTAAAACGAAAAAAGATGCCCGAAGAATGGAGGTGGAGCATGATGGTTCCTGTATATAAGAACAAGGGTGATATCCAAAATTGCAATAGTTATCGGGGTATGAAGAATATGAGTATCACTTCACTCTTTATTAATGCGGTGCTTATGCTTTCCTAAGCCGAAGGTCTATTGAAAACAATCTCTTTATACTCATAAGGTAGGGTAAAGTCTGTGTACACACTATCACCCCAGATCCCACGGTGTGGGATAATACTGGGTATGTTGTTGCCACAATTTACAATATATTGAAAGATTAGGCAATTTACCAAAACTTCATGACTAAGTGTTCTGAATTTTTGAGTTGCTAATTTCAAATTCAGGATCAAGCGTCCTGAATTTCTGAACTATTTAAAATTCAGGACATAAGAATCAAACTTCAAGGAACAATTTGTGAACTTTAGGATACAATGTCCTAAAGTTTGAATTATGAGGTTTAAACTCTAGGACGTCCTATCCTGAAGTTTGAGCGAAATTGGCTGATCTTTAAATACATTGTAAACTGTGGATATATTTTAAACAGCATGCTTAAAAGTGGCCACCTGTGTCATTTTTACCAAATAATTGACCGGATTTATTATTTACTTTTTCTAGTCGATATTATATATTGGCATATACATATTATATAAAAATAAAATTTATATTCTTGTCAAACAAAAAGATTTTATTTAACTAAGTAAACTTGTACAAGTTTTTTTTTATAACAGGGATCTTATTTATAGAAATCACATCATAGTAGAGTTCATACAACCATAATCGCCCGGTAGCTATTACAAGCCATGTCACGTAGGACATTTTTGTTTCCAAAATAGGCAAGTCTATAGCAAGCATCTTTGCTAAGTTTTTTAGTAGCATAGGATATGCCTTCCAAGTCCGAACTTAAAACTTCACATGCAAAAAGGGGCAGGTAATATAGAATAGTAAGATCCCTGCATATGTTATCATGTAGTGCCCTCCTAGCCAACATGTGTACAAGGTTAAAATTACACTTGCCGTGAAAAGTTTACTACATTGCCCCTGTTTATAACTTTAGTCCCATTTTATGCTAAGAAAATTCATATTGGGTTGAAAGGAGCAATCACGAAAGAGTACCCCGGGTCAAGAAAAGGCACAAAGTCGAGGTAGCATTGGTCAAAGATAGTTTATATATATTATACATATGTTATATATTATTTTTAATTTAAACGGTTGAGTGGATACCATTTAGATTAATTCTCCTAACAGGGGAGTTCACAAATCTTGTTTGTGGAAATTTTTTAAAAATTTGAAGAAGTTTTTGCATTTTGAAGCAGCCAAGACACAAGTCATTCCTAAATAAGACTTTATAGGTTGCTAGAGCCGAGACTTATAGCCTATTTGGCCAAACTGGAAAAATCAACTCATTTTTTGAAGTATTTTTTTCAAAAGTGTTTTTTGAAAAAGTACTTTTGGAGAAAAATAGTTTGTGTTTGGCTAATCAATTTGAAAAACACCTTCGAACAATAATTTATATTTGGCCAAGTTTTTCAAAAAAATGCTTTTAATTGTCAAATTACAAATAAGGACATGAAGAGATTTGCTTAATAGTTAATATTATATAAGTAGATAAATAATTACAAATATTTATTATTAAAGAGAATAATTAAGTTTTTTATTCTATTTAAGTAAAATATAATGGTTGTAGGTTAGGAGGTAGTTGAGTCTTGTCTTATACCATATTTTTATTAGACTAGTTTGGTAGGGATACTATTCTACCTTGCCTTGCTTTTGCTTTTGCCTTGCTTTGGATCATTTCTCTTGATTTTTGTTTCTATTGGTCATATTTGTCCCATATTATTTCGGTGGTGTTACTAATATTGTCTTCTTTTGTCTTTTTGTCTTCTTGAGCCGAGGGTCTTTCGAAAACAACCTCTCTACTCCTTCGGGGTAAGGTCTGCGTACACACTACCCTCCCCATACCCCACTTGTGGGATTTCACTAGGTCGTTGTTGTTGTTGTTAAGTAAAATATAAAAATAAAATTGAAAAGTACTTTATTCTTTCACGATAATTTAAATATATCAAAAAATCATCTAATAAATATGAAAGTTCATCCCAAAAATTATTTTATGTTACTTAATAGTTTAAACTAAGTAAGGTTATTTTGGTATATATAACATTTTGCAAAGGGTATTTTTGGTATTAAAAAAGTCAAAACTGCTTCTGATTCTGGAGATAAACTACTTTTTTGTTCTTCTTCAAAACAGCTTCTGCTCCCGGCCAAAGCACCCTTTTCCCCAAAAAAAAAGCTTGGCCAAACACCTCAAATTGAAGGAAAAAAAACACTTTTGGCCTGATGAGAAGCTTGGCCAAATACGCTATTAACCTAATCTTTGATTAGGCTATTAGTGGGATTCAAATTATTCTGGACTATAGCAGGGTAGAACTAGGATGGTTATGGATTAAAGTTGATAAATTTTCATAAATCACTATCTTTTAGTAGTAATTAGCCATCTATAGATACCATTTGTCACACCTCCTTTTTACCTACACCACGGAGAGGTATAATAAAGGGAGTTTTTTCCAATTAAAGAACAATCGAAAAGGGATTCATTTATTAAGAGATTCAGAGTCGCCACTTGGGAGATTTATGGTGTCCCAAGTTATCGGTTTAAAAATTCCGAATCGAGGAAAAGAATGATTGTTTATCAGTCCGCGAACCAAAAATCCGGGTAAGGAATTCTATTAACCCAGGAGAAGGTGTTAGGCATTCCTGAGTTATGTGGTTCTAGCACGGTCGCTCAACTGTTATAATTGGCCTATTATCTGATTTTAATACATGTTTGAGCCTATGGTGCAATTTTAAACTTTTAACCGCTTTTATTCATTTTTTAAAGAAAATTGCAACGTCATTTAAAATATGTCTTGGTCACATAATGCGCCCGCGGTCCGCAACACATTTTATATAACATTGTTGAGATTTGGATTTGGGTCACATAAATGTGCACCCGAGTTTAGGAAGGTAATATTATTAAAATAACGCGCCTAAAGCAACCAAAATATTTCAGAAAGGATTTCCGAATTTACTCCTAAACTTTGATTCATAATTTTTAAAAAAAATCTCCTCTGTGCTACTTCGAGCTTGAGCTACGTTAGTCAAAAATTGAAAATACGGGGGTTTGCTAACTGCTTTCGTCCCTTTTTATGTACTCAATTTGGCAGGTGATGAAATTTAACAAAAAGACAAACTTTACAAACATTTATATGACTATAACTCATTACAATTCACCTGCTCATGTCGTGATTAATCTTCAGAATTTGAAGCTTAAACTGAAGTATACACTGTGCGAAACCAAACGAATCAACCAATATCCCTATGCAATTACTGATATTTTCCTTAAAAAAAAAACCAAATACATGGCATGACCATTGCAAGTAAACTTATAAGAGAAATCAAACAACAAAATGAAGCTAAGTGAATCAACAGTTTGTTGATGAAACCACAACAAGCAACAAAATGAAGCTAAACCCAACCTTCCGAATCCAGGCAAAAGTGAAGCCAAATGGCAGAAAAAGAAACCCAACCGACAGAATTCATGTGTAACTCCAAATTCATGTCATCAAAACCATGTATATGAAATTAAAGGGAGATAGCAATTAACAATAGCGAGGACTTCATAAACAGAGCATCGCAAATAAACAAAAAACAGAACATGTAAGTGAAAGAATCGAAGCTCAAACCTTGAACCGGAAACAAAGAACAACGATCTCAAATCGAACCTCGACGGAACTCAAGCTGGACCGGAAATGGAGAAACTCCGGCGAAGTGCCGGCATGGCAGTGACCTCGACGGATTGAACAGATTTGAAACTGAAATGGATGTGGTTTATGGCCGAGGCAAAGACTACAGAGCTCTTAAATTCACCCGGTAAATCTGAAAAAATGAGCTCGATCTCTTGAACCAGAAACGAAGCAGCAGCGTCGACGAAATTGACTACCACTAGGCGACTCAACCATATTTCATCGGATGAAAGCGGATTCAAAGAAGAAGCTAGAATAGATATGAGCAATTTTCCTATTCGCCCCCTATTTGGTGTGTGTGTGTGTTATCAGTGAAGAAGAAGCCTAGCTCGGGGGTCCTTAATTTTCTGTTCTTTTCTTCAATTCTTTCAGAGAATCGGCCGATCTCAACAGGGGTGTAGGTCTGTTGTTTTTCAGGGGTGGGGGTTCAAAAGCTGCGCCCCGATTTTTTTCTTCCTCCCCTAGTGTATTTGGCGTTAGGTCTATATATTAGAATGTATAGGTCTAGGGTTGGGTATTGGGTCGGGTCGACCCGGTTTGGACTGGGTTGGAGGAAAATTTGGGCTTCTAAAATGTTTGGCCCAATTTGAATTTAAGACCAAGCTTTTCCAATTCCTTTTCTCTTTTTGTTTTTTTTCTTTTTTCTTTAATTAATTAAAAACCTAAATTAAATTTCTAAATTAATTAAAATTGTAAAATTAAGCTAATTATCTAATTACAAAATTTATAAAAAATAGTTGACCTCAAATTAATAGAGAAAAATTAATAACCTAAAATTTAAGGCTAAGAATGTAAAAATGAGCCATTTTTTGTGATTTCATTTTTAATAAAGCAATTAATTAATTATCTATTCCTAAAATGTGAACCCAAAATCTAAATGCAATGCATGGTATTTTTGATATTTTTTATTTTTAATGAAAATTAAATATGCACAATAATGTAAATAATTAACAAAATTCTACGAAAAATCCTATAAAATTGCAAAAATTGGAAAAGATTATTTTCCTTATATTTTATGGGAGTAATTCATATAGGGCAAAAATCACGTGCTCACACCATTTACTATATTATGGAATATAGATACCTTTTCTGTGGTTATAAGATGTATTTGATGTATTTAAGCTATTGTATTCATGAATACAGTAGCAAAAATAGGCGTGAATCAGGGAAGTCCAGCTAATCAGTTGTTGTATTCGAGTGTATTCGACTGTATTCATGGAGTGAAACATGGGATTACAGCTAGACAGATTATTGTATTCGACTGTATTCACAGCGTGAAATANATATATATATATATATATATATATATACATAATGCAGTAAGCTCAAGATGACAAGAGATATATATGGTCTCGAGTAATTAACTGGATTTGGTGATTGTAGGATTTGTTCTGAACTCTTATGATCAGCACTTCTTCTTTATTGTCTAATATTTCTGTGCTAAATGCATTCATTGATAGTTACCTAATATAGAAGTTCATGAAATATTAGGATTGCTGGATTTTCTAGGTCAAGCGAATTGCTTGGATCATTTGCTCATTTATTGCTAATGGGTAAGCCTCAAATTGAGGGGTTTTCAAGTTTGGGAGACCAGGAATTATCTCAAAAGTGATCAAATTCAAGAAGGCCTAGATAAAATAGATATTCATTTTATCCGCCAGTTAACCCATTTTTTATCCGTATTAAATATATGTTGGGTCGAATAATTTATTCGTCTTTTGACCCTGCCTATATCCGACCCAACCCGCCTGTTTGTCACTCCTAACCTACGCTAATAAAACAAAAAATGAAAAATCTATGCCTTCAATGAATTAGTAACAACAGATTAGTGGAATGAGGGATTATGAGTTCTCTTTGTCGGTAGGGATTTTGTTTTGAAATTCATTACAAGAATTATGAGTCTTGTAATGCGAATTTTGTTATAAATATATGAGAAATTTTCATAAAACACTATCTTTTAGTAGTAATTAGACATCTATAGATACCATTTGCTATATTACGGAATATAGATACCTTTACTGTGGTTATAAGATGTATTTGATGTATTTAAGCTATTGTATTCATGAATACAGTAGCAAAAATAGGTGTGAATCAGGGAAGTCCAGCTAATCAGTTGTTGTATTCGAGTGTATTCGACTGTATTCATGGAGTGAAACATGGGATTACAGCTAGACAGATTATTGTATTCGACTGTATTCACAGCGTGAAATAGGGGAATACACTGTTTTTAAAACGAAAGTGAAACAATTAACATAATAGACTCCTAATATCACTCAACAAACTCAATTATAATACACAATTTTTGTATTTTCCAATTATAAAAAAGATTCTCAGCCGCAAAATACCCCAAAAACATAACAATCTTCAAAGAAATTATATAATACATCTCAATACATAAATTATATTAATTAAAAAAAATATATGAATACATTCATGGCATATAGCGAGACAATGAATACAATGAAATAGATAGAATACAGAGGTATACATTGAAATACAATGAGAAAAAAAGACACTGAATACAATGAAATACATGAAATACAACGAGATTTATTGAATTACAATGAAAAAAAAGATAGTGAATATAATGAAATACATAGAAATACAGCGAGATACATTGAAATGCTCTTAAAAAAAGGTAACAGAAATCACAACCTTGTTTCACTTTCTTTTACCATTGCATCACGGCTCTGTTCAGGTTCTTAATTTCTTCAATGCATCACCAAGAGAATATAGTTGTATATTCACTTCAGAGGCAACGTCTGCATTAAAGCTTGTTGGGGAGACCTTCCCCTGGAGCAATCAAAGCATTTTTATGTACTCAATGGAGAACCATAACAACGTCCTGGGGATTAGGGAGTATCCTAAATTGAATAAACCTTTTCATCAATTTTGTCATGCAGAGTTCTAAACTTTTGATGTATTAATTTTCTCAGAAAGCTTTCTTCTTTGGTTGTATATTCAGTTGCTTAATCTGCGGTACTCATTCCTGCTTCAAATGCTACTCGTTTTCACTAAACGTATTGATCCACTGTATCCGCAGTCGTCGGATGCGGGAGCCGGAGCAATTTCTGAAGAGGGCTTGCACAAATCCGGTGGAAGGAAGGAGGAGATCGGAAATTTTGATGGGACGAAGAGAATGGGACGTATCAAAGTAGGGAGAGAAACAAAATAGTGTAACTGATTAGCGTATTTAGTGGCTTAGGGCTAGGAGGTAACCAAAATTAAATATTTTGCTATAAATCTTAAAATGTATCTATAGAATATAATTTTTTTAAATGGTATTTATTTAACATAAATAAGGTGCTAACCTTTGCTATAGGAGGTAAAAATTCGGATTTAATAATAATGCTGGACTCAAATATATTTGGACTAGAATAAAGGATAAAAATTGCACGGCCCGCCCTATTTGGTCGCCTCCATTTAACATATACCCATTTTTTAAAAAACTTTTAACTTGTACCCACTTTTTAAATAACTTAAGCCCCCTTTCTCTCCTCCTTCTCCTCCTTTTATCTTTTTCTTCTTCTTCTTCTTCTTCTTCTTCCATCTTCTGTTGCTATTTTCTATCTAGTCTACTAGTGTAATACCCTAAAAAAAGATGATATGCTGGTGCAATATATATTTTTTTGTTGCTAAAAGGTGCAATAGTTCAATATAGGCTAGGTGAATACATACACACGTAATTTAAGGAGCAAAGACCAAGACAACAAGTGATAGTAGCTGTAGTTTAAGCCAGCAGCGTATCAGATTGTTTTAGGTCTAGAATTAAGACTAACCCCAACTGTAGGGTGAATGGAAGGAGGTGAGTGAGCAAATTTGTGTTGCCAATGAGTTCAGTATGTACTTTTTCAAAGGTGTGTGTTAGCGCATGATAGCTAACACAGGGAGCAACATGAGAACATTTCATAGAGCTGAAGTTTCCCAGCTACTAAAATGCTGAAGTTTTGCGTGATTGCCTGTCACGACCCGGATTTTCCACCCCCGGGAGTCGTGATGGCGCCTACTAATAGGAGCTAGGCAAGCCAACCTTTATCTATCTCTTTCGTTATCAAAATCCTGCTTTTAACAATTTAACATTTATAATTAAATACAGCGGAATAAATTAAATGAGCGAAAGACTTAAGTTAAAAGAAAACTAGTGAAATGTGGAAATTCATCATAAACCTCTACCCAAGAACTGGTGACACAATACTCACGAACTTCTAAGAACACTAAAACAACCGTTTGAAAGAAATATAAAACTGTTTGTCTCGAATACATGAGATAACAGACTGAAAATAAAGATAGAGGAGACGCCGGGCCTGGGGACGTCTGCAAGGCTACCTCGGTGCCTCGCTGATCGAAATGCTAACACTCGCACTACTGCTGTTGCTGCTGTTCGAAACCTGTATCTGCGTAAAAAGAGCGCAGAGTGTAGTATCAGCACAACCGACCCCATGTGCTGGTAAGTGCCTAGCCTACCCCGGCGAAGTAGTGACGAGGCTAGGACCAGACACTCACATAAACCTGTGCAGTTATATAATATACAACGGATAATAAACAGAAATAGACAAGTAAAAATGGAAAGGGAAAAACATATCACAGAAGTAATACCAGTACTAATAATAATCCCAGAGTAACAGTCTAAGGCAGTTTAGAATTTTTATAGCGAACAAGGAAAACCATTATTCACGTTAAACGCAATATCCAAATTAAACACACTTGTATCATCAACTGTTGCGGCGCGCAACCCGCTCCTCAAATATTATTTCTCATTTAATCATGACGCGGCGTGCAACCCGATCCATATCATTTATCATTTAACATCTGTTGCGGCGTACAACCCGATCCATATCATTTACTATTTCATCATGCCGCAGCGTGCAACCCGATCCACAATTATCACTGTTGCGGCGTGCAACCCGATCCACAAATCTCATCGATCATGTTTAGAGCCCAATAAGGACTCAATAATGTACAATACAATTTCCATTCAAGGAATATATATTAACAAAATTCCATAATTATTTTGGCGAGGGAATAAGCAATAAAGATATTTATGCAAATACATCCCTGGGTTTATCCCCATAACATCTCTTCAAAAATATACAAACAGACTCAATGAGGTACCTGTCCAGAGTTCCACTAATTACAAAAGTCAAACCAGCTAAACAGTTTGGGGCACCTTCAGGAACTTCCTGCAAAGTGGAAAGACCACAATTTTATTAACTCGGACAACTTCTTACTTGTAAAAGAAAATAGCTTCAGCAAGGCTTCTACCTTTTCCCCCTTGTGAGGAGGGTCTTTTCTTTCACCAAAATTCATGAAACCGCCCCGTCCTCCACCACCTCTGTCTCGTCCACCACTTGGTGCTGCAGATGGTCCTTTACCACCACGCCCTCATCCACCAGATTTGGTGTCCTTATCAGCTGAGGCATCATCATCACTTTCATCAAGAGGGATGCCTTTCCCACCAGTCTGAGCTGCTCGTCCACCACGCCCTCTTCCAGTAGGTTTGGGATCAGATTTTGTATCCTTAAGATCATCGTCACTTTCATCACTGATCACAGACTTCCGTGCAGATCCCCTGCCAGAGCCACTTGCCGACTTTTTGCGGGAGTGGCACCTCTGGATCCCATTGCAGATGCAGGCAGTACAAAGTCATCGTCATCCTCAGCTTTGTGAAATTCTTTTCGCAGCTGGTGGCTTCTCATTAACTGATGAACTTCCACCAGCATTTTGAGCTTTTCTTTTTGCTGATACTTCCTCTACTTTTTTCTTCTTTTGCCTTCACTTGTGCTGTAGCAAAATATTTACTAGTTTTCCTTCTGCCGGCAGTCTCTTGTCCTTCTTGTACCTAGTGTCCATTGATGCAATAAATAAGATTAACAAAACAAAAGATGTTGTTGTCCGTAGGTTCTCAAAGTTCAGAAATTGCATTAGATAATCCAGTTAAACATTCCACCATCTCAAAAAACTCTACCTACTAGCTAAAAACCCAACGATGAGAAAATATTTATAAAAAAAAAAGAAAAAGCTAAAGATCAACAATATTTTACAGGACTTATTGATGGTGACCAACTTCTATTTTACTGCAAAAGTTAGAAACAAGGAGTTAAAGTTCAGAAGTTTTAGAATTCTTAATATAGGTGAAAATACTATTGTTCATGGTATTTCCGAATGACCTTCAGATTAGTTCAATTTCCCCCTAATTTTCTATCATACTTTGTAATGGTCTTAGGAAAAGCTGAAAGGCCACAACGTAGAAGACGAGATTTGCCAAGTGTCTTGATGCTGAAGTTTTTATCAAGCACTTGACATATAAGATTTCCCCAGAAATATGTAATCAAGATATCCCTCTATTTCTTAAATGGCTAGGTAAGCGATGAAACTAAATCACATGCATATAAAAGGAAGAGCTCAAGATCTGAAGCCAGCAGATCCAGCCATATATGCATATTATTTGCAGATTTTATAGTCATAACTCAAAATAGCTGGAGCCATCATTCAACAACGTGAAGGAATACATAAGGAGCAGAATTGCAGCTAATAAGAAAGGCCCCAAGTATAAGAGAGAAAGACAGAAACTCTCTAGAGTAGATTCCTTTCCACTATTTCCCGTTATCAAGTATATTTCTTTATTCAGTATTTACATTGGTTATGGATGGGTAGAGTTAAAAGCTATAGGTTTTAGGTAAAAAAAATGTCAGCTTTCAATGATTTGCTGGAACTACTAGCAGTGTCCCAAACCCCGAACTTACGGTGTCAGTCTCAGTTCTGGTGACTAACTAGCCCTCGAAATTTGTACAAACCCACACGGATTGTTACCATTCATTCTATTTCTTTATAGCTCATGAACTTATTCAAATTTTAAAAAAGTTAAGAGTGGCAGCTAAAATGAAAATTACACTCATCTAGACTTGATATCATATTTCACTTTCCGTCTTTTCCAAGCTTTACACCTTTTTCTTCCCTTTTAGACGTGTTTAGATATTTGCACGCAATCCACAAGAAAAAAACCATACCAAGTAAGGGGGAAAGTAGATCTATTCTGACTCATCTGTTAGATTCATCGCTTTGTTGCTTTCATGTTTCAAAAAAACCATTCCAACAAGTAATCTGTTTCTCCCTCAAATGACTCCATTCCATTTCTTTCTTTCGGTTGCTCAATAAAATAATTGAAGTAGAAGTCCAGGTCAAGTTTCGGCAATCGATAGAAAAGAAATTACTCTCAGGAAATCTCAAAAAGAAACAACAAGCCAGCCCCACCATTCCAGGCAATCGGAACAGGTTCCAAGAAACAAGAAATAGGTAACTACATTAACAAACACTTAAACCATACGAGAGGTCAACGAGAAAGCAAGTGAAATTGGAAGAATGATCTAGCTACAAAATACTTACCAGGTTTCCTGGAGAAGGCTTTTCTGCTGAAGGCTTTTCTGGAGCACTATTCTTGGACATACTCCCATTACCCGTACCTTTGTCATGCTGCTTCATGAACCATTTTCTGATATCTGACTGTATTACACAGAACTATACCATCAAACTCTTAAACCATGCATCTCAAATTCTAATATTTGACAGACACAAAATTCATCACATACTTCAATCTGAAAATCCCAGAAACCACAACTTAACACTTGCCATATGCTAAGTATGAGCCCGTTTGGATTGGCTTAAAAAAAGTGGCTTTTAAGCATAAGGGCTTAAAAGCAGCTTTTAAGTGCTGGAGCTTGTTTTATAAATAAACAGTTACCTGTTTGGATAAAAGTGCTGAAACTTAAAAAAAGTTGTTGAAGTGTTTGGTAAACAAGTGCTTGTAAGCAGTTTTTTCTGTTAAAAAGACAAAAATATCCTTAAAGTTGTTAACATTATAAAAGAACTGATTACTATAATATATTTAATTATAAATTAATGCAAATAAAAAATAATTTATATTTTAATTTAATTTCAATTTATTGGATTACTTTAGATAATTTTTATAAAGTAGAAGAAAGATTTTTCGTGCAGAAAGGTAAAACCATTGTAATTAGCATCCAGGCCATTAATCAGTATATTTAGCTCCCAAACACAAAATCACAAAGGGGGTTTGGGATAATCTCCAACAAAAAAGTAAAAAACGACTCTTTAGCTTCAAATGACAAAATCACAAAAGGGGTCGGGAAAAATCAAAAAATAGGCAAAATTATGACAAAATTGAGTGAAAGTTGTGTACTTTTTGCGAGCTTTGCCGACTTGAAATGACATCCAGAAGTTGAGGAAACTGTAGAAAACAAGAACAAGAATTACGTATCCATATTCTTTGGGGAGCAATTCAACTCCAGCCATAGCTTTTTCCTATTTGAGTTTTGAGAGAGAATTTGAGAAGTTTTGGCGAATGATACTTTGCTTTGTGTTGAGGTGAGGTTCTTGGTCTTTGGTTATAGTCAAGTAGTATTGGTAGAAGGTAACGCAAGTGGATCAGAAAATGATACTTGAGGAAAATGCAGAAAATGAAAGATGAAGTAGAGAGGAAGATGAAAGAAGAGGAACGTGTCTCCGGATGTGAAGAAAATAGGAGAAGAAAATGTTTTGGGGTTTCTTTGACTGGGGGGTAAGTTTGGTATTATGAAAACATGTAATGGACAAAAGAGTAATTTTATTGGTCAAACTAAAATGGCTTTTAAGCCAAAATCGGAAAAGTTGAGATCAACCAACTTGTTGCTTTTGGCTTTTTTTAAGCACATTTTAACTTTTTTTAAGCAGCTTTTTTTTTTTGCCAAACACTCCATATAATAAAAAGTGGCTTAAAAGCTTGTTTGACTAGCTTTTAAGCCCATCCAAACACCCTCTATGTGTTCTTTTACTACAATGTATGTGTGCAATAGTACATGCTTGGGGAAAGTTATTGTGGATAAGTTGAATTGTCTCAGAGTACCAAAATAGGATTGCATATGGAGTTTAAGACACTAGTATTTATTATACAAGTAGTGAACGAAAATGCTGAAATAGTACTTCGAAAATTAGTTCGGTGAACAAATATTTTTTTTTCTGAATTTGATTTAATTAAGGATTTTAAACTCCACCGGTGAGCTTGCTCAAATTGTCGGACCCAAGCCCAAATAAAGGAAGAAGGTTGTGGCAGTCTAGCGGCCAGCATAGAACTAGCCAAATCATGATTAATCTTCATAGTAAAGGGAAGATTTTGGTGGAGATATTTTATGACTTTGATTTATTTAAGCACTTTAAACTCCATCAGTGGTCCCAATTCCAAATAAAGGAGGAGGGTTATGGTAGTCTAGCAGCTAGCATAAAACTGGTCAAATCACGATGAATACTCATAAACAATGGAACATGTCCAGTGAGTCATATAGCAGACCACAACTTGTTTGGGAGGTGTAATTGTTTCCTTATAGTCTATTCCCAAAAGAATCGCACATTTCTATATTTAAAAATAATTTAACTTTAAACTTTTCACTTTACCCTTAATGAGTAGCTTTCATAGCTACACAAATAACCCTTTAAGCTTTTAAGACCACAAGTTTCAAACGTCTTTTTTTTTCTTCTTAAACTCGGTGCAAAGTCAAACTCTGGCACACAAATGAAACAAAGGGAGTATTTTAAAATGTGGGAAAAGTTAAAAGTGGTAAAATACAGAGAAGATTAACATGGGCATGCACAAATCAAGAAATGGTCAGAATTCCATGAATTAAAATCTTAACCACCAAAAATTATGCAAAAACAATATTGTCAATTGAAAAAAAAAAGTATCAATAAACTGAAACATGAGTAACAAGTACCATTTTTGTGACTTGTAAAACGCACTATCTTCAATAGGCAATGTCTTCTTCAACTTTCGATTAATTTCAAAATTCCACCTAAAAACAAAAAGAAAAATCGAACCAATGTATGAACAATCTCGTTATACAAACCTCAAAAACGAGATAACTGCATGAAGAAGATTTAAAAAAAATGACACGAATATTCAATGCTGCGAAAAGGGAAAAGCAAGAGCATATTACCAAGCTATGATTTCGCCGGCGGGGAGTAACCGGCCATTACCGTCAACGTAGCTCCGGTGTAGGGTTTTGAGAATTTGAGACTTTGATTTTCGACTGGGGTTTTACTGGTTATTTGAGAGAGTTTTTTTTTTGGGGGACAGCTACTCGGCTGGGGTTACTCGGAGTTGAGATTTTACACGCCTAATCCCTTTCCAAAAGGTATTTAAAATAAGAACATTAATTTTAGATTATTTCATAAATAACAATTTTTTTTACAATACTAGCATATTGTAAAATTTATGCACAGCATTGATGAGTGAACGAAGAGAGATGTATTTTTATTTTTTAACCTTATTGATGATGGAGCCTTCGATATTATAATTGAATCTACAATAAATTTTTTTCCAAATCTTTTCAACTGAGTTTTTCTTTACGATTATTTTCTCTTCTCGACATTTATTTCTTTCTCTCACACACACACAATGTGCATTATTCAAAATATATTACTAGCAAATACCTTACGAAAAATAAATCTAAAATTTTAATATACCATTAATATGTGTATAGAAACAACACATATCACATAAACTTATTATATATATTGATGATATATATTTAAATATAAATACGAGTATAAGTAACATATGTGTGTATATATACACGTGATTTTCCTTAGAAAATACATGATTTATAAAATATATGTATAAATCACAAATTATATGTATTTTATTTCGGTATATACGATGTATAATTTCACTAGAGTTATGTTATATAAAAAGCATTTTTTTACTGGTAAAATATCCAATGTATGGAAAGTAAAAAATTTGTTATGGAAAGTTTTCAACATAAAAATAGAAAAATATATTACGTTATGGAATGAATTAGTTTCTAATCATTTAAATGTGTTAGGAAATGGATTGGTTTCAAGAAAAGATATAGAAAAAGATATTAGAAAATAGAAAGTAGTAGCAGTGTACTTAGAAGTAGTTGATTGTCACTCGAAATTTATTATTATCATATCTGAATTTATTGGTAAAAATATTTTACTGTCATACCTGTTAATCATTAACTGATGCTATTCTTTTGTATTATCTTTCTAATAGTCGGCTAATAATGAAAGTTTAATTGGGCTTAAATCAGTGCAAAGGTCCAAGCCCAATAAAGACACATTGGTATTGGATTGGGTTGCGTGGCGTGGGCTGGATAGAAAATAGAATGGGCTAGCCAGTTTTCAAACTGCTAATTGAAAAATGAAATTTTTACATTCCTATACCATATAGGAAACCTTATTACCCTCAATGTTTAAGGTTTGATATAATTACATTTAGTATACCAAATTACCAATTCTGTACCATAGTGTATTTTAAGGGTACAATTAATGCAGCATATATCCCTCCTTAATTCAAGGTACCGTATATCTCACCCCTCCCACGTTTCTCTCTCCCAAACCCTCGCCCTCACCCACGTTTACGTACAGGAAATGACTGCTACTACCTGTAAACCAACGAGGATACAATCACCTACAACCAAAAGGACGCTAAGAGCCAGTGGCTTTGACGATTTGTTGCTTCTGTGTTGATCATTTGCACTTGAAATAGTTTCTGTTGTAGAAATTACAAAATTGGAACAACACGAGCTGCACTTTATCATCCCGTTCTTCGTCGAGTCCGTAAAAATACATATGCCATCCATTTCATAGTCCCAATTCTCAAATAATATCAAATGCTATAATCTATTACAATATTTCTTATTTTTATCACAATAATTGCGTTTTTTCAGAAGATTTTGTAGAAGTTTTAGTCGTTTTGGATTTGTGAAAATAGAAAACAATGCATCTACAATCAGAATACAAATAATCTACAATTCATCTACAAAATATCTACAAACTGGGTATATTTTGAATTTTAATATCCCAATTCCCATTCGATTGTAGTTCAATTGGGATTTTCGACATAATTGCATTTTTTCTAGAAGATTTGTAGAAGTTTTAGTCGTTTTTGATTTGTGAAAACAGAAAACAAAGCATCTACAATTAGAATACAAATAATCTACAATTTATCTACAAAATATCTACAAACCGGGTACAATGAATTTTTATATCCCAATTCCTATTCAATTGTAGCATAATTGTGATTTTTGACATAATTGCGTTTTTTCAGAAGATTTGTAGAAGTTTTAGCCGTTTTTTATTTGTGAAAACAGAAAATAAAGCATCTACAATCAGAATACAAATAATCTACAATCTACAATTTCTGCAATATGCCTTCTTCTTCTTCTTCTTCTTCGAGTTTCCATCTGAAATTCAGTCAAAACCAAGTCTAATCTTCACCAAAACCCCTCAAAATTGAGATATAAACTCCAAACCATATTCCCGATTACTTTCAACAACACCCAATCCAAACAAATAATGATTTTGAAAACCCAAATTTGAATTCAAAGCTTTCAAGCTTTTTAATGGCTGTCAATGGTGGAAAATATCTGGAAGAATATTTACTTCCATAATTGTAGCGCGCCTAAATAGGAATATCTGGAAGAATATTTAGTTCCAGATTTGTAGTGCGCCTAATTAGGAAGGAATCAACTCCTAATAATTGGTATTTAATGAATGGTATATATTTTGTAGAATAACTGTGAACATGGCGGGTAAATATGAAACTATGCACTTTTTTGGTAATAAGGTTTCATATATGGTATAGGAAGGAAAAAGTCTCTTGAAAAATAGTCAGAATTTGCAAAGTCATTGAAAAATAGCCACTATCTTATGCGAAAATAAAATCTGGATAAAAATACCCTAGCTAAAACATGAAAAGTTCCAGCATAATATGCTGGATTATAGAGCTCTTGCATATAAACTTCCTACATATTATGTTGGAACTCCAACATATTATGTTGGAATCTCATATGTAAAAAAATTGAACTCCAGCATATTATGCTGGAATCTCATATGTAAAAAAATTGATCTCCAACATATTATATTGGACTTTTCGTATTTTTAAGGGTGTTTTTGTTCAGATTTTATTTTTGCCAAATAATTACTAAATTTCGATTAGTTTTGAAACTGTGGCTAATTTTCAATTAGCAGTTATAAAACATACTGTATTTTATTTTTTTCGCTCAGTTGAAAATAAAGAAAGAAAGAAGGACAAATTTTCTTTTTATCCCCTAAAGTTTTGTTTAAAATTTTAAAAGCCCAGATTTCAATCATTCACATGCTTTCACTTTATTTGGTTTATTGCTAGTTAAACAAGATGGAAAAATTTAAATAGTAACATATCACTAATTATTTAGGTATAACATGTTTATCCTTGTGATTTTTGGATATTATATGGAATAATTCAAAATGGACCTAATCCATATTTAGGTGAGCAATTTCACCCTCAAATTAAAAGATTATTTATTTACCTTAGGCTAAAGTTAAAAGCATTCTCTAAATTTGTCCAATTTTTTTTTTTATGTCGACAGTAGAATTTGGATTTATCCCTATTAAACACTTATACCACTGAAAAATTATATTTATTAGAATTTTGTTGCTGACATGGCATAGTGCGTGAAATACACTTCTAAGCGAATAATTTTTTTAATATAAAAGAAATCCTTTTTTTTTCTTCTTCATTCTTTCTCCTTAAAACATCCACCGCAAAAGACACCAATTACATTTTTAAGTCAACCGAATTTTTTTCTGGCAAAATTCTATTTTTTGTTTCCGATAAGGTTCAATCTCACCTATGTTGGTGAAGTTCAACAATGAAAAAACATAATTCCAGCATATACATATATCAATGTAATCGAACAGTAATAAATTAGAGCAAATTCAATCAAATAAATACCCAAAATAACATAATTAAAATAGAGATTGAAGTAAGGGATGGACCTTCGTATCGCAAAAACTTTTCCCAAAATTGAACCAAAGATACAACAGTAGGAAAAAGAATAATGATAAATAACAAAGACTTCGAACGAAAAGCGAGGTAGGTGGGGGGTGGGGGCGGGGAATTCAAAAATTACTAGTTTTTTTTCTTGTTGAAATATTTTTTAATTAGTTAAATAAGTTTTTAGATAGTTTTTTTTTTTCTGAGAATTTATTTTTTGGAAACTTTAATGATTATTTGGGGCCAAATGCTATGTCTCCTCATTTAAATCGCTACCTAGCCATGTTATTTGCGAATGTGCTACACACAATTTTTTGACTGGTTACCAAAAATATCTAATAGGTATAATTTTTGAGTGGTATAAGTATTTAATAGGAACAAATCCAAGTTCTAGTTTTAAAGTAACAAAATTCGTACAAGTTTAGAGGGTCGCTTAGTGTCAACTACACTTGAGAATTGAGATGTTCTTTTTAGTTCTAAAATAACATTTGATATTTATAACTTTGATGAAATTAATTAATCTTTACCATAATAATTTATTATGAGAATCACTGATGATAGGCTATAATTGCGTGTTTTAATCGTTTATTACACTCTAATTTACTGCACTTTAATTGAGTTTGAGCTTTAACCGTTAGTGGTTTGCACTAACTGTGTGTTTTATGCCTTGTATGAGTGATTCCGAGCTATATAGATGTTATGGAATGAATTCAAGTGATTTGGAGCTTTGAAGTATGAGTAAAAGTCCAAGGAATTAAGTCGGGATCGTGTCAAGGGTCAACTTTTATAGTTAAGAACAAACGAAGACTCGAGTAGGTATATTGCACACTGTCTAGTAAAATAGACATAACTCTTTGCTCAGAACTCCATTTGAACTATATAATATATGGTTGGACATCTAACTTAAATGGCTACAACTTTCATGTTTTACGTTTTTTTAAATTCCTAACGGAACAGGGTAAAAAATGCGGTCGAAACCGCGATCGCGGACTGAGGCAGTGCACTTGTTAATATGCGCGGCCACTAGCGCGGTCACTAGAGCACCCGCGCTAGTCCAGGCCTGGAAACTTGTCCTTTTTCACATTGGAGAAGGTATAATTATTTGGGCCCAACCCTACTTGGTAAATATACATGGAAAAACGGTATTTTGAGGAAGTTGGACATATTTTTGACACATATTCGACCTAAGGAGGCAGAGACACAATAGGAGCAAGGCGGGGAATTCTTCTACGAGTTTTTCTTTCCTCTTCCTATTTTTCATTGTTGGTTATGACTTTTAGTATTGTAGTTTTACATACTTTTATGAATAGTTAATTTGTTATCTAGGA